AAAAAAAAAAAAATGAAATTTTGGTTCACATTTGCAATTTCCCTAAACTAGTCAAAAATCTGTGAATTGAAGCAGTGATAAACCTATTTAAATTTCTGTTGCTAGTCTCTCAACGAAACTACAGATTCGAGTCTCGTCGACAGTGTAATTTAAAGTTTTTACCTAAATCATTAATAAAACAAAAACTTTTTTAGAAAACAATTTCTATGAAGAAAAAAACAGACAAAGTTCTGTGGTAAAAAACTACCCCAATTATGAAAAACAGAAAGATTACAGCCTTTTTTCAGAAATAAACAAAGAGAAAACCGTGCAGGAAACTTTTGCTTTTGAGGTTTGGTACATGCAAATCAAGAGGAAGGTACTCATTCCTTTGGTTGTACATTCTCTGCACAAATTACGGTTTCTTATTTCACTTTGCTCTGCTGCTGAGGCCCAATAAACCGCGGGAAGCAAATGTGGCACACATTTTCTATCAAGCTTTTTTACTGTATTCCATTTTCCAGAAATGCTTTACGACATCTTAAGAACAGTAAAAATGTCTGTGCTTTTTTGGCGAATGTATTAGATTATATAGCTCCTCATTTCAGTACTGGACGAAAATGTTTACAGCTGATGATCCAAAACAGCTTAGCAACGTTGATACCTATTAAGAGCTGCGAAAGTTCTACAAAAGCAGTTTCTTAGGTTATAAAAGGCGAGGTCGAAGCAGATGAATTGAAAGAAAGCGCTTCAAACCTTATCGGCAACTTGCCCTAGCTTTTTAAAAAAAGGAATGAGAGGAAATCAGTAATTACAGAGATACTGGAAACACTAAAAGAAGATGTCCCTTCAGATGCAATATAATGCATAATAAATAAACGTTTTGTAACGCGGAATCTGCTAATTAGAAAAGAAGTTACTTTTAAAACAGGGGAAGTTGTGGCTGCCAAGTGGATCTAGTTGATCAAAAAACTGAAGGCGATTCTTCTTTTGCTTATAGCAGTCTGTTATTAGAAGACGGCCAACATCTTCTCGGGTTTTTGAATTCAAACGGAATTATAAAATAAAAAGATTTGTGAACTAAAGGTTGGTCATCCTCTCAGCACGCGACTTCTCGTGTAACAATTTTAATAATCTTGTTGCACACCTTCACACCTTCTTGCCCAAAATTGAGCTTTGTAAAAAAGTCTTTATAAATTGAATATGAAAAGTGATAAATTAGTGAACAAAAAAGTTGTAGTTCTGAGGGGGATTGTAATATTCTTTCTCCCCGCTCTCTAAAAGTTCAACATGTGCTTTTTAAAGGTCTGTTTGTACGCAACTGCAAAATACAAAAACCGATTACCAGACAACAAAATATAATTTTTTTAAAACTTTTTACTTTTAGACACTGTTTCACTAAGCTTTTTCATTTTTACAAACATACAAAAGATTTTCTTTGAAAAATTCCACCGGAATCACTTTGACATTGTTGAAACCGCATTCGTGAAACAGTTCCATCGCTCGCTGTTGGCCCCACATGGCTCCAAGGCGAAGGGCGTCTGGAAAATGTTTTTTTTTTCTTTTTTTTTGGAAGTGCTTTTTAGTAAATGAGAGATAAATTAAACATAAACTTCAACTAACCGTTTCTATAACTTTTGTTCAGTAACTTATTTAGTGAGCGTAATTAGATTTGGAAGGAAAACCTGGTGCATTGCTTCCGTAAGGTAGACAGGTGAATAAAGATAACCCGTAAGTGAACGTTGACCTGCTAGGGAATACTTTTTTATCCAAAAATGCATTGCTTGTTCCGTTGACGTCAACAACCGTTAAGAGTCCGTTCCTCTTCAGAACTCTTCGAATTTCTTTCAAGCACTAAATTTTTAACACCGGGTTTACAAAAAAGTATCTTTGATAACTGCCGACTTTTATACATAAATTTCAGGTGCAGTCATGAAGAATTTTATATGCTGTAAACAAGTATTTCTACTCAAATTTGTGACTTTTGCGATTTTTTTTTTTGCAGTTAGTTAGAAGTATTATATCATAATAAAAAATCAACAGAACACCAATAATTAAATGCAGAAAAAAACATTTTCAATATAAACGCTCCTTCTTAAAAAATACTCTACTAGGCAACTCATTCAAATTAACAAACTGGTAAAAGCATGTAAATAATTCAAATACGTTTTCGTTCTTGCAGTTTGTAATATATCAATTAAAACGTACCAAATCTGGCCTCACGTGCTCGTGTAACGAGTCAAACAGCATAATCCAATCATATCGGTTAGTCCACTCAACTGGTAACTCTCTGGCGTCCATCAAAAAAAATCTAAGATTTTCTAATTTGTGCTCCGATAGACGTTGTTGGGCAATTTCAATTGCTTCTCGACTTATGTCAATTCCAGTGAAAGATGATGTCGGAAAATTTTTAGCTGGAAATGATTTTATTTACTCAGTATTTTTTAAGTTTTTAATTTTTCAACAAGAAATTTTTGATAACTTTTCCGGTGAAAAATTGGTGAATTTTAAAAAAGTTAATTTTGCTTTAGGATGTACTTTTAGCTTAATCTGCCTTACCGCAAAGTGTGATTTGAAAACCGCTTCCACAACCAATATCTAAAACCTTTATAGAACCGTTCTCTAATTTTTCTTTGGCTCCAGATAAAGACAAAAAGTCCGAAATAAGATGTTCACGATATTTAGCTTGAGAGTAAGCTCCAAAATATTTTTGGAATTTGCTGAAGTCATTCAGGTCACGCCCTAAAATAAAATAATCTTCGCCTCAACTTCTAATGTTTTCGTTCAGAGTCATGCTTCCTACCGAGTGGTCCGCTTCGCCGGAAAAGCTTTTTGATGTCTTCAGTTTTTCCAGCTAGGTAGCGAATTACATCAAGACTGGTAAGAAAGTAACATGTATTTGGTCCAGTAAGTAAAGGAATGTTTTCTTTCTTGATCCAAAATCTTTCTCCATCTTCGTGGATTTCAATAATGCCGCCACATGCCACACAACATAACCATTCCTTTACGTAGCTGCAATGCATGTCACTATATATACTGAAAATATCTTCTTTTAGCAAATTTGTGTACCAAGGTTAATTTTATAGCATATCCTTTCAATCCACCACCGACGACAGAATTTTTTTTGTTGTTGCTGCTACGCAGTTTCACCAGTTTTCCAGTTAGGATACAAAAGCAACTGGTTGTGTTTTGATTTTTTTCTCTTTCACTGGTAAAGTGTTGACAAAAAGGAAGAAATTGAATAATATTCACTAATAATAGAGTTCCATGAGCGATTATCCAGTCAGTGCCATTGCTAAAAGAGCGCCTCTTTTAAAAACTTATCTGTTTTTAAATGTCAAAACGTCATGACTATTTACATTACTTTTTTCCCCATATTTTAACAGTTACATTTTGTATCTGATGTAACAAAAGTCTCTAACTGTAGCTAGTTTGTTCTTAAAAGATAAAGAAAGTAAAAAAAAATGTATGCTAAACATATCTTTCGTACCTAAATCAATATGCACTTTATCCTGTTGAATATGTAGCTGTGAGGGGAAAGAAAGAGAAAGTGATAGTGTTACGTGGACAGAGATTTTTCTATTACAAAATAACAGTACTTAGCTGTTTGTTACGGTCATCGTGAAATGACAAAAATGTGAAGCTAGTTGAGAAGACAGGCAGAAGTTGGAAGCCTAAAAATTTAAATGTAAAAAAAAAACGAAAAATATTAGAAATTTGAGTTTTTCCTGTGAACTGTAAATATAACAATCAACCGGTTACATTAACGGTGCTGCTGGAAAGCGACTTCCAGTTTCAACTTCTGATGAGCCTGATACTTTTAATTTTAAAACGCTGTTATAATTGTTATACTGTTGTAAAAAGGAACGTTACAGTGTTCAGTAAAGTGCTAATAAATGAAAAAATAATGTATTTTAGCATTATACCGTTCTTTGAGATCAGCTTTTTCGGCAACAATTCGAGCGGTTGCTGGTTTTTCTTCGGTAGCCACTACAGCTAAGGCATCAAAGATCTTCAGACTATGTCCAATGCATAATGCCAACGACAGCATACTGTCAGCACTAATTTGCTAAAATACCAACAAATAGCTTTTTTTCACACTGTTTTTCTATTTGAAAGGAGTACCAACACACCACTTACATAAAAGAAGAAGAATTTCGTGAGGTAAAAGTTGAAAAATTTTTGCTGAACATGTTAAATATTTATTTAACTTAGATCTTCCAACTTTTACTTCATTTCACTTAACCTTCTTTTGAGCTCAAATACAGCTTGAAAATACAGCCTTCTAACTGTGATCATAATTTTTACAAATATTTATTTCACATGTAATGTTACACACACACTGTCTACGGTTTATAAACCTCTTAAAATAACTATTACTTTTTTCACTTCAGCAAAAAAAAAAAA